TGAATATCTCAAGAAAAGCAAATTCTTTTTGGTTGAAACATTCGGGACGTTCTAAGAACTATTGAACCTATATATGGGCAAAATTTCAGCTCGAAACTCCACAGTTTACTTTTTGAAGTATATTTATCTAAGAATGGGTCGAAAATCCAGTAAAATCAGAATAACTACTGAAGGAAGAGGATCGGGGAAAATTCCCTTTAGACTTTTTACTATCTCAACATACGCAATCAAAAGAGATATAAATGAATGAAAACGGAAAATGTCATCACACATAGTTCCATTATAAGTAAATTACTCGTTCTAGATATCAAAAGAGACAGTGTGAAAGCAATAACGAGCGACAAAATGGGCTTCGTTGGAAGAGAAGAAGGAATTGCTGCTCAAGCTATTGTTTGCGTTCTTGTTTAGTTATAGTTAAATTTAAAAAAAATAAAAGAAACTTTTTCCAAAATCAATACTAATACATAATAATGATAAATAAAACAAAATATGTAAGACGATGCATAATCTATTAAGAATATATATATATATCCTTGTATATGATTCTAAGAAAAATATATGTACATATAATCCAACACATTTCATCAAACAGATAGAATACGATTACCTAGAAATTATTTTTGATATTATTCATTTTTTTAGCTTAAATAAAATTATGATAATATTACTTAAATAAATATAGTTTTTGTCAAGGTTTTTCGAAATAGATATTATTTTGTTTAATAGAAAAGTAAAGTTTACACCATCTTCAAACTTGTCTATTGTTATAATATGTTAATAATTGAATTAAAGAAAAATATTAACATTAGTTTTAGTTATTAATGGCTTAAAAAGTTCATTAGATAAAATAAGTTCATGATGATTAAATGATAATTTTACTTGTTGAATCTCAAGTGCTTTTCTAACATAATCAAATGCCGAATTGTAATCTTGAGATTCTTCAAAAAGTAAACTTATTTGATAGTGTGTACGTGCTACATATGGAGGGTAGAGTAGGTATGAATATGGTGTGTGGGTCTTAGTGTAGATCGATGATATACGTATAATACACCTACACCTATCCTTTTGCCTCTTCTCTTTCTTCGTCGTCAATGATTAGGAACCACACAATTGCACAAGAAAGTTTTTATGGGGAAAATAATCGTTAAGACGATTCGTGTTTATTGAATGATAACTTAAAAAGCATAAGAAAAATCATAATAATGGGTTATTGTGACTCGTCCACACGGGTAAAATATAGAGTCACGAGGATGGGAGTAGATTTTTTTCGTTTGTATTTAGGTGCAAATAGCTCGATCACTTGACGATCGTTGACAACCAGAGTAACAGGTCGACTTATGATACCATTGATTACCACCGACACATTGATAAACTGATGCTCTACGTCCACGCGGGAATACACATTCATAAGCACCATACGAAACACATCGACCACCTGTTGTCCAACAATCACAGGAGCGACGAAATCGTCCGCTCTTTTCGCTTGTTAAGTCTAAATTAACACACACAAATTAATAGTGAGAAAAAAAAGAAGATATATAACTTGCCATCAGTGCCAGGATTGAAAGGAGTAGTTCCATTCCAATACTGTTTTTCTATGTTTGATATTTCATTTTCAGTATTACTCTTGTCGAGTATGGCGTTTCCACTAACAAGAGCGACAATGACGACGAATAATAACACTAACATTTTTAACGCATTCATTGCTAGTTACTTGTGAAGATTCTAAAATGAAAATGTATAATTCTGAATGGCTAAAAAATCAATATCACATAGGAGTTCAACCTGAGTGAATTTTAGAAAAATAGATCACACTATTCCTAGACTACGTAGTACAGCATTTTATAAATCACGCTCAAAGAGTTTTGTAGAATCTAATGATGCTGGATTTGTTCGGCTGAATTTCGATAATCATTTATATGAATCCATAGAAAATATATAACACTATTAATTTACTCTAGTTAACTGTGTCGTAGAATTTCAAAAATAGCGTTATCAACGATGAAATTTACTTAATTGAGGAGTTTTTAGATTGAATATAAATGATATGTTTGGGTTTTCACTGTAAAATACGGTAATCATTAATCTGCGTCTTACCTTTGTTTGAGTAATAGAAACTCGAGTTTGAGTGAGAACAATAATAGTAATGTGGTCTGTTCTTATGTTTCTTAGACTCTTATATAGTACTTTCGAATACGCTCGGTATTTTCCAACATCCTATGTCACTGTCACACTGGGAAATTTTTTTGTTTTTTTACGAAACTGTGTTTGGTATTGTAATGTATCTTTTTTTTCCAATGTGGGACGGACCAAATAGTCTCATGATCCAATTTTGTCGTCCCAAAATTCCATTACAGTAAATGTTTTGCGTATATACACTTGAAGAGCAATATGAATAATATCGCTTCTTTCTTTCGATTGGGTGACTGATTGGGAATTTCCCGTTGGAATGTAGTCTGATTCGTCTTCATTTTATCTCGTATCATATCATATAGGAAGTGGGGAAATCTTTTCTTTCCAACATATGCCGATAAATTTTGGTAGAAAAATAAATTTCTTTTTTTTTTTATTAATCTATGGAATTTTTGTTTTTTTAAGGACAAATTGATAAATATTTGTTTAATGCATTACAACCATCAATTGATGGTCTTTTAAAAAATGATTTAACTAAACAAGAACCAACATTTGTTGCTGATGCAATTAAACTTTTTCTTGAATTACATCAAATACGTGAACGTGCAGTTCTTAATCATCTTATGCAAAATGCTCCATCATCATCGGATAATGATGGAATTCATGTTGATTTAAATGATCCAAATACAACAAATCTTGATTTAACAATTCATGCTCATTTAAATTACTCAGCGGTATCAACAAATAAACAAACATTAGATAAAGAAATTGTTGAAAAACAACAACATGAAGTAAATATTTAAACAAAAATAATCTATAGATTCATTTTTTATTTTGTCTTTCCTAGGCTCAATTAAAATATCATTTTTATATTATACGTACAATACTTACTCAATTAAAATCATCAATAAATGATGATCTTATACATTCATTAGTCACAACATTAAATTTAATTGATATAATAACAGATGATTGGACAATTCGTAAAAATTTAAGAAGTAAATCCAAAAAAGTTAATAAAGTATGTTGTAATTTAATTATTGTTTTGTTTTAAACTGTTTTTTTTATTTCTCTAGTATTTAACAGTCAGTGAATGAAAAGCTAATTTAAAATTATTTATTAAAAAAATATCAAGTCGTATTGAATTATTACGTGGATTTGATGATAATAGTGATACAACACTTAATGAATCGACACTTGTAAGTTTAAACATTTGATTTTTTATATTTATCGAGTTTTTTTTGTCTCTAGACTGGTTCATCTCAATTAAATGCAACAGTTATTAGTTCAGTTCCAGCACATGTTTCTAATGCAAATTCAACAACACCTGGTTCACCACTTATGAATACAGCTTTTCGTGGCCTTGGAAAAAAGAGTAAGTTGTTTTTTTATTTAGAAAGTTAGTTTATATGTTTTGTTTTTTATATAATAGAACGTATACTGAAAGATTCACTTCTTTCACAAAATTCTACGAATTCAATAGTTGCACCACCAGTTGTACCTATTCGTAATGAAAAAAATCAAACGAAACTTTGTATTACTCCTACTAAAAAAATAAATGGTGAAAATGATTCATCATCATGTTCGTCACCCTCATCGGAATCAAAAAATGAAGAAGTAACATTAGATATAGAAAATGAAAATCCTCAACCTCAATCTATTTCATCAATTGATAAACGAGCACGTGCAGATGCAAGATCAACTGAATCACTTAGTCCACCACATAGTAGTATTACAAGTACATCACGTATAATAATTCGATCAAGTGCACGTAAAAAACAAGAATCATCACAACTAATTCCATTATCAACACCTTCATTACGTCAACAACGTAAACATCGTCGCATTAATCTTGATATTAATCTTTTAAATAGCAATAATAATAAGAAAAAACTATCACCTACTCAATCATCAACATCTCAAATAAATAAATAAAAAAATAATATGTTTTGTGTATGTGTGTACATATTAATATAGTTGTGTGTATTAATGTCACGTAAAAAACAAATATCTTCAATAGATATATATTTTCTATGTTATATATTAACAGCTTAATAAATAAAAAATTTTTTTTCGAAAAATGTTAAAGAAAGATATGTATTATAATGAGGAAAAAAGATGAAGGGAATATGATATGTTTAATCTGATTTTACTGATTCTTTATCAATCAAAATCAAGACGGAAGATGAATAAGTACTAACAAAAGAATCATTTTTATAAAGAAAGAACAATTGTGATTACTAATATCATACATATCAATGAGTTTTTACTCAATAATATTTCTATTTATTTTACTAACTATACTATTATCATGTAATATTAGTAATCCACCTGATCTATGGTTAAATATACGTCATTTAAGTGTTGATACAATTTCCTTAGCTGCAGACGATTTAAAAGCATATGTCAGCGTTTCTGCTAAGATTGCGAATCTTGTTTCGTTTCATACTGGTGTTGATGTTACTATCGGTAGAGTTAGATCAACTATCACAGGTAAGATTTTTATAGACAATTTTTTTTAGAATAAAATTTATTTTTCTAAGTATTAATATACACGTACAATTAGAAATACATCTTGATAGTATTGTTAAAATTAGAAGTCGAACAATGATTTCACTTGATCTTAATCCTTTTTAGCATCAATTCCGAATAATGATTTTGAAATAGTTCACAATTGACTTGGTACATTCATTGATAATGGACAAATTATTTATCAAATTATCGATAGATGTAATTATATTGAATAATTATCAACAATATATTGTATCTTTTATTATTCATAGTTGAAAAAATTGTCAATCAAGAAGTATCAGGAGGACCTTTTACGATTGTTGGTGATTATCAACAAAATATGACATTTACTGTTTCTTCGAGAAGTTTAAAAATGGATATTTAATTAAACAGTATAGTTATCTATCTCAATTATCTGATCGTTCAACATCAGAGATTAAGCTTATCGATATAATATTTGATGCATATGGTTATGTATTGAATACAAATGTTATTAATTCTCATTGAAATCAATTAAATTTTTATATAAACTATTAGAAGATAATAATTACAATTTCATGATTGATTCTTCCTTTTTTATGCATTTTTGAATCAACAATTATTAAATACTTCGAACATTTAAATATTCTAATCCAAGAGTAAAATACTGTGCTGCTAAGTTTGTATTTTCAATATCTCTTGCTTCAATTCATTCAAAATGTGAACAATAACCATCGAAAACGGCAGTAGAAAACATAAACGATGTTATATTGGTTGATTTATTACGAAGATTAAGTGCTCTATGATGTAATAAAAACTTAGCACTTCCAGTCGAATTATGTCTAACTGCATTTAACAATATTCATATTATTAACTTTAATTTCAACCCACAATAGTGTTGCACATTCGATTAATACTGAAGATGATTGAATAACTCAGTCATAGTTATGATTTTGAACATGCATTACTAGTGAAACACATCATAGGAATAAAATAGTATTTCCAAATTTTGTAATAATCCAATAAATAATTGTATGATTTCATTTTTACAATAGTTTCTCAGTCATATTACTGTACTCTTTCTTTGAACCTATTAAAAATTGAAGTACAAATATGCTCGAAAATAATACAACTTATTTTTCTACTTGTCATGTAACTCTTATTATAAAGTGAGTAATAGTTCAATATATTTAATAGGGACCAAACACAACCAGTGAGTATATACGATTCAATTGTATTTGTACTGTATATTTTAATTCGATATTTTTACATCAAAATTGTTATCTCGTCCGGGTGTGGTTGTAATTGTTCATTGTGTTTCCCCACACTAACACCCCATCGTCACAAAGATAAGACAAAACGAGAATTGATCTTTGTATACTGTCATATTTTTTCGTACGACTAAAGGTTCTCCATCATACTTAATCCTACTCGATGATCAAAACTGATCTACGTTCTTGTCTTTTAATGATTTTTGCTTAAAACAATGTTGTGGTATAATCGAAAATGGTTTTTTTTATTCAAGTTTAAATCTAATCTGTATTATAATTTTATAAAGAGATAGATCAAAATACATGAGAAGAACATACATTAGGTATTAAGCAAGAGTGTGAGCTAGGCATTAGTAAAGATAGGGATTGTTCGTTTTCAGTTTGTGAAAAAAACTTTCGCTGACATAATTCACCAATCAAAGACAACCACAAATCTTCCATCACCTCGTAAACCATGTGTTTTCGTATCGTCTGTTGGATATAGATAAGCATCTGGTGCACTTGAATGTAAAGCTTCAAGTCTTGTTCTAAAAGATACAAATCAAAATTACTGACGAACTTATGTTGGTAGTTCTCTTACCCATCAGGAGCGTAAACTTTCATCGGTACATTGAAACCATCAATGGCGCTCAAATCATAATAAGTGTTCGCATCATGTGTCTGAACAGATATTTCGAACAGAGTTACACCTTTACCACCCCAACCATGTTTAAAATTTCCAGCAAATCCTTTTGGAAGTTGGTAAGCACGAGCACCACTGAGCGATGAGAAAAAATCATCATATCAAGTCGTTTGATGTATAGCCTCATTTGAAACTTACCCTGTTGGAATAGTGGCTAACAGCATAGGTGCAACGTTGTTTTGTGTCACAACTAACTGAATCGGAAAATTCAGACCGTTTTGAAACTCAACGATTATTCCAGATGTTGCTACAACTGTGTATAAATAAAGGTAACACCGAACACGAATAAGATAACTCTAAATAATACTTACTACCAACGATGAACAACATTGCTAATTGGATAATGAAACCCATTTGTTGAATTGCAATAAGAAATAATCCGGTAAATTGTAGAATTGTTCTTAAATAGTTAATAAGTAATTAATTTCATGAAATGAATTACGAGTTGACTCAAATATAGAGACGATAGATAATTATAGTTGTCGACTATCCTTCTTTATAAAACTCGGTCTCACATTCTCAAGGAAATCATCTCTGCTATCTTACCGTAATTCGCTTCAAGTGATCTATAATAATGATGAAATCAATAATGAGACTATAGCAGTTTCTTCGTATACTTTTATAGATGCGCAACTCGTTCTCAACAAGGGTTTTATCTCTTGAACAAAAATGCCATACATCATAGAAGAAGACATTTCCCCACTTTCGATATCATATGATAAGAGAGAAAATGAACACGAATCAGGCTGCATTCCATGGAAAAATTGTGTTGCAGTAAATGTTTTTCGTATATTCACTTGAACAGCAATGTAAACAATAAGTTACTTCCTTATTTGTAGTGGATA